TAATACAATATGTCCCCTATGTGAATATTATATAGACCTATTGTTTAAATCTAATTTATGTTTTAAAAGTAAATCATAGCTGGTTTCATCCATAGTTTGTCCGTTTAAATGTCTGCGTTTAGCTTCAAATGGTGTCTTTGACGACGGTATTATATAAAAATTATTTGCATTCCGATTCTCGAATCCAAAGGTACAACAATACATTTTTTCTTTTATTCCATGGAGTTTACCCGTTTCCTTCCATTTGTTACCAGTGTTTTTCTGCCACCACAATGCGCACGCAGCTGCAAGTGACGTAACTGTGACGTCTACTCCAATTTGGTATTGAATTAATAGGAAATCGTGCGATTTTAATGAGAAAACATCCCCTAACGAGTCAGTAGTTTTATATATAGTATCCCTGTACATTCTTTCAATGCAAAAGTCCCATGTAAGTGGTGATTTTTTTAATGTTGGGAATTAAAAAGTTGCGTAAAAGTAATAGAAAAAAAATTATGCGTATTAAAAAGTTACGTATCATATTCATTACAGTAGCGTACAACAGATGAACATGATAAACATGGATGAGATCCTCAGCATATGCATTTCAAATGACAAAGTGCTCACGGAATCTGAATAAAGATTTATGCTTTGTTTTCATGCATTCATTCGCCTTGTACAGTTATTCACTGCTTATGTAATTTTGTTATAGTGTTTTTATTCGTACAGTAGGCTAACTGCAAATGTTTCAACAATGATTTTGTTTACAGCATGCACCTTGAAGCAGTTAATGATTTAAACATTGGATAAATTAATAATTAATTCAACATACTTCTATGGAAACCGTAATGCTAGTAAAATGCTAGTCTGAATTAAATGTTGCTCCATCAGGAAATAAAAAATAACACTTACTAGCTACATACGGTACGGACTTAAAGACATAAAGCTTTATTTCCAAGATGATGCATGGTAAGCTTTGAATTTCAATAGAGGCTTGTATTGTAATATGTATTGTATATCTGCATCAATTTATGATAGGCTACTAATTTTAGATATATTAATTTTTAATATTTCCTGCATAGTTATATTGGCTCAGTTACCAGTGTCGGCAAGTGTGCAGCAGACCCACCCACCTAATCGATTTTAATATATCGCTTACCCTGCCTGAAAATACCATAAACATTGCGGATAACATCTGAAGTAAGAATTAATTTACATACACATAAAAACTAATCCTGTGTGACTGACACACTTTAAATCGGGTGAGTTTATGTCAGTGTTTTAGCTGTCAGTCAATGATGCTCTCTGCCGGTAAAGAATAGTAAGATGGCCGCTCGAACACTTCCGGTGGCTTCACTGCCTGACGACAGTTTAGGGCCCAATGAGCGATCCAGTCATTATATAGATCAGTGAGTCAGACCCAACGTCCTTCTCTTTGCCCAGCAAGGTCTTTACCCATGTGTGACCTGCATTACTGCAAAGCAGATAAAACCTTGTATAGGTTTTACAGAGGGGCATGCAATTACTTTTTGAATTGACATTGGTTATATCACAACTCAAACGATTCACTTTGGCCAGCCTTGATTGTCTTTTAGAGTTATAGGAATGGCTAAACTACCCACTCTGCCTGCAATCCAAATTTCCTCTATGGGATAATAAATTTGACTTGACTTGACTCTACTCTTTTAAGGACTGTCCTCTCATAAAAACAATAATGCCAATATGGGACTATGGTAAAGTGAAATGTATGTTTGTGAGTGACCTTGAACTTGACCGATGGTTGGTACTTCCTAATGTTCACCATTATTATTTATTTATTGTAATTGTTTTATTAAATTTTTTGTCAAATGCTCGGATGATAAATCAACAAAAAGAACAACTAATATAAAAAAGTAATCGTAATCATTATTTCCTAACTGAATTTATAGAAGATGATGGTTGTAAATATGTTTGTCATTCAGTTTGATGTGTTTAGTAAAGTAGATTTTCTTTTCTTTGCGTGATAAGTGATATCATAATAAGATTGGATTGATAACTGATGCTATTTGTGGGAAAGGATCATTTTACGATACTGTTTCAGCACAGCTCATATGCGATCAATAAGCCTCATTGATTTGTGTTTATGTATTGTTTTTATGTTTAACCCCTTTTTCGTCTTTGACCCATGTATGTCTCTTTCCACTGTGGAATAAAAAAAATAAAAAAAGATAATTGAAATTTTTTTATCTAACAATTCAGACCTATTTTCTCACAAATATATATGTTTTTTTAAATTCCATGGCAGGAACAGAATATTGAGATGTAAACTTCAAGTTTCTCACAGTTCTGAGTTCATATCTCTGTCACAATTCTGACATTCTTTCTCAGAATTGTGAGTTTACATCTCGCAATTCTAAATTATTTTCTGGAACAAAAACAGAATGGCGAGATGTAAACTCAGAATTCAGAGAAAGTCAGTCAGAATTCTGAGATGAAAACTTGAAATTATGAGAAAAATTTTAATTCTGTTTTTTATTTCTTTTTGTTTCCAAGAAATAAAACATTTTAAAAAAGGTAATTGCGGCTTTACATCTCACAGTTGCAAGTTTATATCTTACAATTGCATGTTTATTTCTTGCATCCATATGTTTGTACACTTTTTTAAAAGAATTTCAAGTGGTTGTAAAGAGATTTTCAATTATGAGAATTGTAGTATTATACTCCCATGAACTACTTTATTCAGCGCTTGAATACGTTTTTACAGACTGTCACAGTATCAGTGGCATTTGTTATAGCTGAAGTGTTTGTGAGTTCCAAACCTGCAATGCAGCATGAATACATTATGTGGTTATACTGTTACAGGATTATTGTTTTGCTGTTTGCTAATTTTATTCATACGTTTGTTTTTGTTTTTATTACTATCGTTAGTTACTTCTTATTTTGTGATGTTTGCATTTGTTAATTGTCACCGTTCTGAGGTTTGCGTCAAGCACTAGATATAATCCAGATATATTTGCTTTGTAAGATGATTGCTTCAGAAGCAAAGATTGTGAAGTGTCTTATAAAACTACATAGATGGCTGCCAAAATGATGTTGTGTCAGTAATTGAAAATTAGCTGAACAAATCTGTGTAGTTCTTATTGCCTGAATGAGGCATTTTGCATTTAGTGAACGAGCAAATCGAACAAAACAAAGCAGTGTTATTGAGGACAATAAAGTCATTAAGACAATAGAGTGAACTTAAAAATCTGAATGCATCATTTTGCTGTGAATTTTCATCTTTTCTCAACAATCACTTTTTACAGTCCTTTTTACATTTTACATATTGCTGGTGTTAAAATATTGCAATGTTGTGAACTTTATTTGACAGGATTCATAAACTGTTGATAAACTGTATAAATATTAAGACAATAGAGTGAACTTAAAAATCTGAATGCATCATTTTGCTGTGAATTTTCATCTTTTCTCAACAATCACTTTTTACAGTCCTTTTTACATATTGCTGGTGTTAAAATATTGCAATGTTGTGAACTTTATTTGACAGGATTCATAAACTGTTGATAAACTGTATAAAATGATTATCAATATCTGATTAATATTGGTGGATGAATTAAAGGTTGCAAAATATTGGAGTTGAAGTTTTAACAGTAACACCTTTATTTCTATATTTATTTTCTTATCTACTGTATTTTTTATTTGTATGTTCAATATGTTCTATAATTTTTCACTTTTTTATTGCAAATGTTTTTTTTATGTATTTGTTTTGTGTGTGTGTGTGTGTGTGTGTGTAACATGTCCATTACCCCATCATTAACAAATGTGAAAATATTAAAAATAGCACAGCACTTTGATGTTTTTCATGCATGGGCCTTTTTCCTGATGTGCTCTATAAAAGAGTCTAAATTAGATTTGTGTTTATGGAAAAGTGAAAGCGGTGAGCTACATATGGCACATTATCATATTGAGCTACTATGGCCTTTTTTCTTTTGCAAGTGGGGACGTTTATTTTCCTTGTACGTGACAATGTTGTTTAATTTCAGTGCACTCTAAGGCCACTTTATAAGGAAAACTGGAAATTCGCCCATGTGTGCCTACTTAAAATTCATTGTGCGTTTTTCATCTATATTATCTGTCTGTTTATTACCGCTCAGACAAAATTCCAGAGTAAATTAACATGATTGATCGTGGCACAGAACACTATTGTCAAAAGAAAATTTGAAAATCTAATATGTATGCGGCTTTCCAGAGGGACTTTGAAAATGGTATTTAAAATAGAGTGTAAAAAGGAATAGGAACGTTTGTGTTGGTTTGCAATTAAAAAACGACATATTTAGACGTATCACACAAGATTTAACATCATCTCATGTGTCTCCTGATTGTGACGTTGCAACTTGGATACACATGACCACAAATGACATTTAAGAGCTATGGCAGAGGGGAAGGTTATGATTAAATAATGACTTAAAAATATCAAAGTCTTAAGAAATACAAAAGGGTATTGTATGGCATTAAAATATAGCAAGTTGTATGAACTGCTATAATTAATTTTATGATGCCTTTTTTTGAAGCTCAGCTTCACTTTTGTCGTGTCGCAAGCAGAAGCTCAGACATTCTGCTTTTGTGTTTCATAGAAGAACAAACAACATGGGTGAGTAAATAAGAATGAATCTATTTAATATTTGGTGGTTAACTGATGTCTTAATGTATAATATTTGTAGAGAGGTGTGAGAATAGTGTTTACATCATCTCTCTCATTAGAATCACTTTGTACAGATGCGGCTGCATTCATCAGCAGGTTGCAGTTCTTGCACTGTCTCTTTAAGAAGCCAGTCCAGCTGTCATTGGAGTGATTGTCTGAGCTTAAACTCCTCTGGTGGAGGGGCTTATGCAGCGTTTCAGCAGGATCCAATCGGGCAGGTAGCACTCCTCGTTCCTGCTCCCCCCAGAGTCCCGTCAGCAGCACTGGCACGGGAGAACTCCCACAGATGGGACACATGCTCACTGAAGACTGCCGAAAGTTTTAAGGCTGGGAAATGAGTGAAATGGCAGAACCAGCAACTATAACCAGACCCCTGATATCCTCCAAGCGACACAAGAGCATAAGGAAGAATTCCAGAAGAATTTATTCCCCATATCAGGATGATAATGTGTAAGTCAGCTTTTCGACCAAATCTATATATATATTTTTTTAATTCTAGGTTACACTGGCTAATTTCACACCTGACACTTGTGTGGACTATAGCATTCAGTCTCTTAGGTATGTTATTTATTTATTATTAGGAATGTGTATCCTTTATAGCAGAACAAAGCATTATATTCCCTTTAAAAGGAAAGCTTCTTAACTTGTGGATTGCAAATAAACTATGTGTAGTTTCTAAACTATATTTATAGAAATGTATATTTTCAAAAAATGTATATAATTCTTGAAGAATTTGTATATCATGTTTTCATAATTTTTGAGTCTGATTTCTATACGAGGTATTAAAATGATAAACAGCCATATTTACAACATGAAGCTTGGAGAGCAAACTAAATTGGCTGAGTAATTGTTTCATTAGCCTGGCCAGCAGTTTCTCATTTTACTGGGCAGCGATCGCTGCGGCTTCTTTAGGCGTTTGACAAGGATGCACAAATGTACCCGCTGTGAATGACCGGGGTTACTTCAAGATCACATTGTGGTTTTGTTCTGGTACAGTGTACAAGCAAACATTTTGGATTTATGCAACGAGCATAGCACTCCCAAAATACTGTGAATACAATATAGCTACATATTTCTTTTCCTATTTTTTTTCGCCATTTTTAATAAACTTTTTGCCTTCTCTTTTCAAGTGAACCTCTTCTGTGACAAATTAAACATATTTAAAATACATTTATATTTAATATAATTAATAATGTAAGGAAGAAAGGAAATAAAAAACTGCTTTATATATATATATATATATATATATATATATATATATGCATATAGTGTATGTATATGTATTTATATAACTTTTATGCATGTCAAATTTCAAAATGTATTTTATGTCAGCTACCAACATATGCTTTCATTATTAATTTATTTCAGGGGTTCTGAACATTTGCATCCATCCTAAAGTCCAAAGATGATGTTTGTCCAACTAATGTTTTCATTAGCACATTTTTCTACGAAGTTTCTTAAAATAACTGGCAGGTTTCTGCCTGATGATGCGTGGAGAAGATACATGCTCCATTTTACGAGTGTCCTCGTCATTTCTGGATGAGCGCTTACGATTACATACACCCACCTTCTGAAGACATTACCCCCCAAAATCAATTTTCCATCTGTATGTGTTTGATTCCTCTATTATGTTGTCGCTGAATTTTATGGCCTAATTTGGTTGTTGCTGGTTTGTTTTTCATTTTTATTAATAAAGACACCAATGATGCACCATTTTTAATGGGTAAAACATCTATGAAAAGCAAACATTAACAAAAGTCTGCTAGAGCTGTGTTCAGGATCACAGAACGGGAAAGTCATCTACTATTGTCCTCAAATCAACAGCAACAGCTGTCAGTCTGGTGGAGATGGTTTGTATTTGTGTGTTTCAGGCAAGCTAGAGAGATTGTTCTGAAGTATGAGGGCAGACTGACCAGGACGAGAGGTTACCAGGCAGCTGGGGCAGATGTATGTTTTACATCTATCTATCTATCTATCTATCTATCTATCTATCCATCTATCCATCTATCCATCTATCTATCTATCGTTCTATCGTTCTATCTATCGTTCTATCTATCTATCTATCTATCTATCTATCTATCTATCTATCTATCTATCTATCTATCTATCTATCTATCTATCTATCTATCTATCTATCATCTATCTATCTATCTATTTATCTATCTATCGTTCTATCTATCGTTCTATCTATCTATCTATCTATCTATCTATCTATCTATCTATCTATCTATCTATCTATCTATCTATCTATCTATCTATCTATCTATCTATCATCTATCTATCTATCTATCTATCTATCTATCTATTTATCTATCTATCGTTCTATCTATCGTTCTATCTATCTATCTATCTATCTATCTATCTATCTATCTATCTATCTATCTATCTATCTATCTATCTATCTATCTATCTATCTACCTATCTACCTATCTATCTATCGTTCTATCGTTCTATGTATCGTTCTTTCTATCTTTCTATCGTTCTATCGTTCTATCTATCGTTCCATCGTTCTATCATTGTTCTATCGTTCTATCGTTATTTCTATCTTTCTATCATTCTTTCTATTGTTCTATCGTTCTATCGTTCTATCTATCGTTCTAGCTATCGTTCTATCGTTCTATCTATTTTCTATCTATCGTTCTTTCTATCGTTCTTTCTATCGTTCTATCATTCTATTATTCTATTTATCGTTCTATCATTCCATCATTCTATCATTCTTTCCATCTATCTATCTATCGTTCTATCGTTCTATCTATCTATCTATCTATCATTCTATCTATATCGTTCTATCATTCTATCTATCTATCTATCTATCTATCTATCTATCTATCTATCTATCTATCTATCTATCTATCTATCTATCTATCTATCGTTCTATCTATCTATCTATCTATCTATCTATCTATCGTTCTATCAATCTATCGTTCTATCGATCTATCTATCTATCGTTCTATCTAGTCATCGTTCTATCTATCGTTCTAGCTATCTATCCATTGATCTATCTATCGTTCTATCATTCATTTGATCTATATAAACTGTCTTTGTCTTTTTGTCTTTTTCATATTATTGCTTCCTCTTCTTTTCTCTTTCAGTTTTTTTCATCAGCCTTATGTTTATGTGAGATTCCGGTTAAGGTTGTGCGTGTCTCTGCCTCAGCGGTGCTCCTCATCTGCTCACAGACGCGGCACTCAAATTTATAGCCTGTTGTTATAGCCTGGTTTAATTAAAATGTCCAATGGCATTCGCCAAGGCTGCCCAAGCTCCATTAAAATTAATTGACTTTTTAGCAAGTGGATTTGATGGTAAATTATTCATTCTGATTATGACTATCATGGCAGACTGAAAATCAGATACCCGTACACATTGATTTAACAAATGTATGTTTTTATATGATCTTACTATCTTTATTCATGGTCTCACAGGTCTTTCAACACTGTTTGGAATAAATATTTTTTTATTTGTGGATTCCTCTGTGTGAAAACTGTTTGCTTATGTGAAAATATTATCTAACTGTTGTATTTTTCTGTAAATGTTTGTTTACAGTTGCTGAAGAAGATTTCAAGAGTCTTATACAACATTGTTGTCTTGTTCATTCCCTGGGAGATGAGGATTAAAAAGATTGAAAGTTAGTATCTAGATGCACAATATGTGTTTAATTTGTATATTAATGTTAACCTCTTATTGCAAATAAAAAACATTATTTGAACACATGACTTTTCATGAATGACAAACTAGCTCTGATTTGGTAAATGTATTAGACATAATGCATATTCATTAAAAAAATATGTTTTGTCAGGTAACCTAAAAATGCACTTCCATGTGGAAAGTATCCAAATGATCTAGTGTGAATAAAGTAAAAAAAATGGACTGACCCTAAATATACTAACCCTATATGTAAAAAAAAAAAGTAAGAGTCAAATCAGGTCAAAATAACCCCATACTGCATTAAATGTACACTATATGTTGTCTTTGAAGGTCACTTTGGATCAGGTGTGGCCTCTTATTTCATATTTCTGCGATGGCTGTTTGGGATCAATATAGTTCTCACTATTATGACTGGAGCCTTTATCGTGCTGCCTGAGGTTAGTATGCACTGCATTCATTCTGAAAAGTCAGGAATAGGCTGTAAATTCAGATATGAACAATTATGAATCAGAAAGTGTCAAACAATTTGAATGTACATTACCTAATGATCTATTAAACATTACATATGCCGCTATTCTCCTTTATTATTATTTCCGAAAGCATGTACAGATATTTAGATGCTGCTGTGTGCTCGTACATTATTTGTAGACAACATATTTTATTAAAACTCAACAAGGACGTTTTTTAGACCTGGAAATGGAAAATACGGTTTGATTTATTTCACTCCCGGTGCAGAGACACAATGCAATTTCTGCTCGGGTATCATCTGTTGTCTTCTATCATTCCCTCTGTCTCCAATCTGTCCAATCAGCTGCTGGCCGGCGCTCCGTTCGGTACCACCCGCAGCAAGACCATCCCCAAGGACCACCTTGCCTCTGCACAAGACCTGGACACCATCTGGTCGCTGGGGGCAAGACTATCATCTCTCATTTTTATTGCTTTACCAATTTGATGTGCATATTATCTGCAGAACTTAGGGGTTTAATCACAAATCATTTATTTTTGATGTTCATTCTGCCGCTTTGTCAACAGGTTTTGTTTTATGTCTGTATTTCAGGGATATCTTCAATACTCTGTGCTTTTTTACGGCTACTACGGCAATGTGCGTAAAATCGGCAGTGCCGGCTACAGACTGCCCTTGGCCTATTTTATGGTCGGGATGGCCGTTTTTGCCTACAGCTTCATCACTTTGCTAAGAAAGTAATCACTACTTCAAAGACGCTTCGCTTGAAATTGCTGATTAACCTCAGTACATTCACATTTATACATTTGGCAGATGCTTTTATCCAAAGTGATTTATAGTGCATTCAAGCTATATGTTTTCAGTTCATGTTGAATTAATTTACTTGCTGAAAATAGCAGGTATGGTGTTTCTGTTGAAGCTGGTTTATTAAGGATCTGGTTGACCTGTCTTTACAGCAGAGTTGATGAAAGTATCTCCTAAAAAAAACAAATGTGCATTGATATTGCTTTTTTAAAGGGGTCATCGGATGCCCATTTTCCACAAGTTGATATGATTCTTTAGGGTCTTAATGAAAAGTCTATAACATACTTTGGTTAAAATTTCTCAATGGTGGTGTAAAAAACACCTTTTTTACCCTGTCATAATCAGCTCTGTTTTCAGCAAGCCATTCTAGTCCATGTTGCTTTAAATGCTAATGAGCTCTGCTCCCCCCGCCCCTCTCTTCTGTGGGGTGACAAGCAGACTGTAAACGCCAGCCGCGAAACTGGCTTACTAGCACGTTATTAGGAAAGGCGATTTGCAAAGATTCATTAAAAACCCTTATACTCACTTCTTCTGTTGATGAAGCTGGATCATGAATGATTTGCGTGAATATAGCATTTAAGCAGATCGGGATCGACGCATTCCCTTCAAAACGATAGTAACGTTAATCCTCTGCATCTTCAGCGGCTCAGATGTCGGGAGTAAATGACGACTGCTGTATTCATTATTGCATCCAACAACAGAACACCTCAATCGCTTAATCGGAGACGTTCTTGTCTTCCCTTGCACCGGAGTCGACACAATGGCGCACTGATGACAGCTCACTCAGGGCGGGTCTAAGGTAAGACGCTAGTCTCAATCAACTCTCGTGGGAGGGGCCTGTGCAGAACTACGTCATTCTGACAGGAATCTCAGAACAGTCTGGTTTGAGAAAGGGGATTTTAAAATAGGGATTTAAAAAAAAACACTGGGTGGATTTTTATCATTATAGGATGGATGTGTACACACACTTCCAACACACATTTATGTTCAAACAACTTGTAAAGTGAAATTTGCATCCAATGACCCCTTTAAACTTTTTGCTGTGCTGAAAATTTAGTGTTGCTTGTAAATCTCTCATTACACTATATTATCACTAAATCTTGGATTCAGTGTTTTTATCATCTTGTTTTCTTTCAATTATCCAAGATTTGTTAGTAATATAGCATAACTCAAAACATAATTTTTGTAGGCCTGTCATTTTTAACAGGGAATGCCACAAATGAAACAAGGTGGGAAAAATGTATTAAAAATTATCGATATTTTGAGCAAAATGCAGTCAGTAAATTTTAGTCCAATGCGATAACGTGAACTAGCATTTGCAGACATTCTCTCCAGGTCAAAATGAACAGAACACAACATGAGTGTTAAGTCATTTTTCGCCATGTGGTAATTTTTTCACAGTCATGATCACTAGAAAATTTACTATGTTTCTTTAGAAAAATCTCAATTTGTGTTCCTCATATGCTGTTGTTTTTATCAGAATGGCTAAAAACTCCCGCATGAGTTTAGCCGGCGCCTCTGATGAGAATTACACCTTCTGCTGGCGTGTCTTCTGTGCGTGGGACTACCTGATTGGGAACCCAGAGGCGGCCGAGAGTAAAGGGGCGGCCATTGTCAATAGCATCAGAGTGAGCATCTCCTGCATCCAGCAGACCCAAATCGATCTATCCTTGTCCTTATCCATGATTGTTTTTCTGCTACTCTCATTGTGAAGCGTACTTGAGCTTGGTAAAGGCGCTATATAAATTAAACATTATTATTATTATCCTTGATTAAATTCTCAATGATCATTCAGTTTTAATTCAGTTCAGCATTGCCTGGGAGGTTTATGTTCCACTATTAGTGCTTATTTCTCCACGGAAAACATGTTATTTGAGTCTCATCAGTGTCATGCTAAATTACAGATGTTTCTTTGGAATAACATTCAATTTGTTGCACTTGTTGCATGTTTTTAAAAGTGCAAAAGTTGTGATTTCACTCAGATGTATGTGATAACCATGTATCGGTCAGGTCGACTAACTGGACAAGATTTGGCCATTTTGCACATTTGCCAGTAAATAGGTATTATATTTTCTAGATATCGGTTGCAAAATCAACTTTATCGGTTCATCATTTCCATAGTATTTGTCATTTTCTTTCTGTCGTTCTTTCTTTCTTTCTTTCTTTCTTTCATGCCAGTACCAAATTAGCAAGTTATGAAGTAACAGTTAATACCTGTACCTATCTGGCAGAAATTATGATGAATGATTTGAAGATTTTGAATTGTTTCAAATGCCTCTTTTTTATTCATATTTTGAATCAGTTTTTAGTTTTATATTTTCTGTTTTTTTTTATTTTAAAGTTTTAGTAATTTGGCAAAATGTAGTTGTTTTTGTTTTTCAAATATACATTTATTTTAGTTTTAGTTATTTTAATACATCAAGTTAAACTATTTTTTTTTCTTTATGGTTATAGTTTTAATTTTAACTATAATAACCCTGATTCTACCTAACCAAAATGTTCTGCTTCTGTTTTTTTAGGAGGCCATTGTAGAGGAGCAAGAGAAGAAGAAAGACACAAGCCTGCAAGTTTTCCTCTTTATTTGTGTTTCCATTATCACCTCAACATAACCCTAAGTGCTGACTAAGTGTATTCTCCAAACTCTCTCAGAAGTGCATGTTTAACAAAACTGTCTTTTGAGCGTGGGAATGATCGTATCAGTAAGTGACTTACAGTGATGTGCTGTTTCTCTCTATCTGAGACGGTTGTCACAGCCCCTGTAATGCTGCCTCAGACCGCTCTGATTTATACATCTCCTCCCCGTCCAATGCAATCGCAGCAGAACATGCGAAATGGAAAACATCCCGCCGTATTTTATACAAACAGCCTTTTATTGCAGGCGGATAACTGCACCTAAATTGCCAGCAGACCTGCTCACACATTAAAGCCGATTAATATGTTGTGGGAATGCGACAACCATGCACACAGGTTTATGCAAAAATTTGGACAGTCTCTCAAAATAATTATAGCTAAACTCTGTGGTTGAATCTAACTTGCAAAATCTTGCAATCTTTCTTATCTTGCAAAATCCATGAGATGTTGAAGTACTTGTGTATTACCTGCTTTTGTCAGTGATAAAATTTATCAGGCAAACTGGGAAATTAAGTGCATCAAGTCAGGAATTGTTTATTGATGCTGTGCTTGCAGTGTTCAGCCAATGCCGATTTTTAGAGCAGAAGGGTAAAAAACCCTGTTATGATACTAGAAATTATCTTGACCATGTCTTCTGCTGCTTTTATAGTGTATGCAACCTCCTGAATAAGAAACAGGATGTCAAAAAAAACTTTATTGAAGTAATATTTTGGGTTTTTTGGTCCCTGGCAATAGAAATGTAGTCGGTTACTAACGTAACCTCGGTTCCCTGAGATACGAGAACGAGTACTGCGTCTTGCTTAAGACGCTTTGGGGAAAACTCCTTTTTCTCCGAATACTGAAGCCTTTTTCAATCACGCAGTGTAGCTGCACGTCCATTAGTTTGTGCAGTGTATTATTAAAAACGAATCAATGGCTGCACGAGCCTATGGCGACACAGCCCGCCAGAGCCCACCAATTTGGGTGGGGCATCTGGCTATATAAGCGTGCACCTTGCCTTAGGACCGAGTCGTGCAGCTACATAGCACAGCCAGCAACGTAGTACTCGTTCCCATATCTCAGGGAACCAAGGTTACGTTAGTAACCCAGTACGTTCCCTATCGATACTTCACTCGTATTACGTCTTGCTTAAGACACTTTGGGGAACCAGTACAATCCCGCCATGCTATTGTAGAGGAACGACCCATGCTTGAACTTGCCTTGAGTACCAAGGGCCCAGAGGGACCAAATAATTGTAGGGAAGCCCAACAGGAAGCGATAGGGCCAAACTCACAGAGGTCGGCCTGGCACTAAGTAATCGTTCCAAGAAAAATCGTACAGCCTCGGAACCCAGTGGGGGCCAAGAGCATACAGAGAAGGCAAATGCCTGATTTAGCACTGGTTTTGCCAGAGTACGTCTATTTAAGCAGAAAGGACCCAAGCCTGTAAAACCGGGACATCCAGATTATAAAACCTGGTAAATGTGGACGGCGAGGCCCAGCTGGCTGCCACACAAATTTCTGCAATGGAAACTCCGCTAGACCACGCCCAGGATGAGGCAATGCCTCTTGTTGAGTGGGCTCTTACTTCCATGGGGCATTGAAGGCCCAAAGAAGAGTACGCTAGCTTGATAGTGTCAATTATCCATTTGGAACATGACGGCGTCCGAGACGCCAGGCATGGGACAGAACTCGCAGTTTCAGCCAACACTGAAGGGGCTGCATGCGAAGCAGGCCCAGCTGAAGTACCGGAGACGCAGAGGCCATGAGGCCCAGCATCTTCTGAACTGCCTTGAGAGGGCAAGGGGCTCCAACTTTGAATGAGGCCACGAGCTGGTGAATAGCCAGTGCATGTTCTGGCGCAACTACGTCGAGAACTGTTCCCAGGAACGAGATCCGTTGGCTGGGGGACAGCGCGCTCTTGGCAAAATTGACCCTGAGTCCCAGGCATTCTAAGTGGCTTAGGAGGAAGGAACTGTGAAATAGTAGCTCGTCCTCCAACTGGGCCAAGATGAGCCAGTCATCGAGGTAATTCAAAATGCGGATTCCCATCTGTCTCAGCGGGGAAAGAGCACTTTGTAAAAGTGCGAGGTGCTAGGGACAGTCCAAAGGCAAGGACCGTATATTGATTTGCCACTCCCTCGAAGGTGAATCTCAAGAATTGTCTGTGGTGGGGGGCTATCTGGATGTGAAAGTAGGCGTCTTTCAGATCCAGCGAAAAGAACCAGTCCCCTGGGCACACTTGTGAGAGGATCTGTTTCAATGTAATCATCCTGAACAGCCGATTCATGAGGGCTTGGTTCAGGTGCCTGAGATCGAGGATGGGCCTTAGATTGCCATCCTTTTTGGGGACGAGGAAATAGCGGCTGTGGAAGCCTGACTCGCTTTGAGCTGGAGAAACCATTTCTACGGCTTCTATCGCCAGCAAATTCATCACCTCGGAGTGCAGGACGTGTGCGTCTTTGCTCTAAACCGAGGTGGAAACCACGCCGCTGAATCGCGGGGGTCTTCGGGCAAATTGCAGTGAATAACCTCGTTTTATTATTCCCAAAACCCAGTTTGGAACTCCGGGGATGGCCTACCAGGCCTCAGCCCGTGTGACAAGGGGTTGGATTAATTAGAGTGGATGGTCACCGTATGGGTGCCCGTATGGCTGCCTCAGCGTGGGCGTGGCACAGACGCGTCCAATTTGAAGTTGTCAGTGATAATCATTAGTGACAGCATTCCCTTTTAATCCACCTAAAAAGATCAAACCACTCATTAGAAGAGGAGTACTGATGATCTTTATGTGTAAACACTCAGGCA